TCCCTCCTTATATCGCCCCTTTCCTTTTTATAGAGCGCCCCTCTGCACGCGACCGCACCGACACGTGCGGCATTCGCCTCTCTCGTCGGCGTCCCTCGCCGTCCGGGGCGAGGGGCGGATGTGAGGAGGTGGCTCTTCGTCCTTCCCTTCCTCCGCCTGAAGCCTCTCCGGGGTGCGCGCGCGCCTCGCGCCATCCCGATGACCTCGAAGAGAGAGCCTTCTCGTCTGGTGAGGTAGGGGCCACGTCCATGGGGAGTTTGACGAGCTCCCATTGGTCGGATGGCCTAGGGAAATCGGGCAGAGCGTACTGGCAATATCGGGGGCGTGGGATTTAACAAGCTCTCCATGGTCGGTGCAATTCCCGGACAGAGGGGAGCGACTTCTGCGTCGGAGAATCGCTCCACGGAGGCATTCGATGTGTCAGAGTCGTTGTAGGAGGACTGCGAAAACAGCGCGTCGTCGCCGCGCCGCCACAGCGCCCAGGTCGATCCGTGGTAACGTATCGGCTGCCACTCAAACTTTTCACCTGGTTCCACAGGCGTATCGCCTCCTCATGGCGTCGGTCGCTCCGCTGCACCGGGGACCGCGCCGGCGCTGCCATCATTGCCTCGCGCGGCACAAGTAAAGTGCCATTTCACAGCAACTCTTTCATAGTTATGAGAATGGCCATCAAAAAGGGCTATGAGGATGGCGCCTTGTGCAAGAGTCATCGACGGAGATATCGATGCATTTGGCTCCTGAATTTGATACAGCTCCAGCGATGAGGGCTTGGCGAAGTCACTGTGCCCTTGCGAAGCGCCGACGTCGGGGAATTGTTCTACTTGGTGCCTTTGATTCACCTCAGTCCCCTCATCACTCCTCGAACGGACTTCCACAAATCGAATCAACACGATTTCATCCGAAGACTATCCGTCCTCCATATTTTCCATCCTCGGCAACATATTGCCCTTACAGATTTTCCCAGTAACGACCCTCACAGTCATAACGCCAATACCAGTTCTCGGGGCAGTGTCTCCTTCCTCATCCCCTTTCCATTATTCGACCAACTGCACACGCGCTTGCATCGACCGGTAGACATAATCTCTCACAGCTGTGAGAAGCGCCCGTAAAATGGCGTCCTGCATGACAACAGCCTCAACATGCATACCCCCACCTACTATTCGACCGTAACTCTGTCTTGGCAAGTGCCATTAGGGCCCTTCTGTTTTCTCTTTCCGCATGGTCTTTGCTTCAGTATCCATCTCAGCAAAGCTGCGCGTATCGCTTCTGCTCTCTCCGTGAGCCTCAAAGTCCATGGCGGGGTGGTCTGTCCCATATACAGAATTGGCTTGTCGATACATCTCGACATCGCATGAGAGAGAGCTAGATTTCTGCCGGACCCTCTAAGGCCTCCCATGACTTCCATCCTTCACCATGATAAGCTTCGGGCGCGTCCCCTAATATGGTGACGAGGGGAAGCAACGGCTGTCTGCTCGCCGTAATTTGCCGGGTTACACCGCAGTTAGGCTCAAGCATTCTTTTGTCGGGTTGATCCCGTGCTAGTGCCTTTTCACGGTCGGAGCGCGTGCGAGCCTTCTAGCGACCACTTTCGTGGTCTATTTACGCATGGTACAGCCTAGGCGAGTCTCATCCCCGCGTGTCAATCAGAGGGCCTACTTGCTAGAAACCACAGCCCACAGCATACCTTGCCGTCCAAAAAAATGGTCTACAATGACCCGATCCCCCGCTTCTGCTTTGGTCTCTTGCTTATCAACAATGCTCAGAAACCCACCTCTAAGGTTATTTTTGGGATAATCGCCCCCAATTCGCTCTCCATACCAGCACACCTTTTGTCCAACAGTACACCCCACCTATCGGAGTGCTCCGTTTTACCTGAGAAGTATTTTAATCTCTTGCATCGACCCTCCCGGCCTGTAACTCTGTTTCAATGTGGGGTCTATCGCATACCTACCCATCTTGCAGGTCTTGAATAACGTCTTTTCTGTGAAAAGACGTTATATATAGCAATGTTCTTTGTAGTCATCTACAAATCGCTTGTATGCAAAATCGGAAATTATTGCAAGATGGCTATGACCCGTTTTTGAAACTCCGAGCCTTCAGGCCAAGACGATACGCCACAGGATCCCGTTTTCTCCATGTTTGAGCACAGCCAAGACCATGAAGAAGAGATCTTTTGCCTTAATTGGAGACTTGCTGTGCCGTCCAGTGTTGTAATGGAGCACCACGTGCTGCCGAAAGGTGTTCCGCACACAATTGAACTCTACTAGTGGAAAGTTCGTCATCTGCATGATGGCGACATTACCATTCTCAGCGAAAAGCGGTCAATCGTAGGGCACTCAATTTTCGTTTCGTGATCTTCGTCCATGATATCTGGCTGGTCCTATTGTCTTTGGACCGCCTGCACCGCAAGCAACTTGGGTGCAGTTGCTGCAGTAGCTGTTTCCTGATGAGGTAGAATGACAAAAGAGTGTTGGAGGAAGAGGATGGGCCGTCGTCAAACTCGATCGTATGCTGACATACGTTTAAGAACATATGGCGGGCTGGGGTCGAGGTCCATGCTTTGGAGCCAAATGTCCGGCACAAACGCGTAGAAATACATCCTTACTGCCTACTGTACCGTACTGGCGATTCGGTATGCTGCACGAGCTTTGAAGCATCGATTTATTCGGAAAAGAATCGATCTTCTCCAAAAATTGGAATTAATTAGAAATGTGCAGAGTTCTCTGCCGTGTGGATCCCTAGTTGATAGCATTCTGAGCGTCAAATGAGTGTCCAAAAAATTCGCGCAGTTGTAAAATACACTTTGTGTACACGTACAGTATGAAAAACCACAGTTTTTATGAATACGACACGCATTTTGGTGGATAGCTTGATAGCGGTTTGCTCCGCCTAGTGGGGAATAAAACCGCCGTCGCCTCCGCCGCGATCTGTGCTCGGAGACATCGCACCAGTTCTTAGCATCACAACGAAGGAATGAGTATGCGACGATCTGCCACGTGTTAGTTCCTAAAAATGACACCACACTGTCATGAGTCCAATGTATATCACACACACTTTTGGCATGCATACATGTGTCACATATACAGGCAGCAGCTCCATCTCTCCGCCACGTCTCTCAATAGAGCCATGATCGCTAACTTCAGTAAAGACAGAGGTATCGTTTCTTGCACCACACACACTGTCGGTTGCGGAAAAGGGGTTAGTGTCTACTCTCCCGAAACAATGTCCGACTCTCCCTTTTACGGTCCCCTTAAATCATTCTAGAAGCGTCCTCCAGTCCCCCGGTCACGGATTTCTAGAAACGCCCTCGACTGGTCTTCTTAAAATTAGATAGAATCTGCCATTACCCTCAAATGTATTTTTCACTAAAAATATCACACACACTACAAGCTTCGATACAGTTCTGGAATGAAGCTAATGCATATACCGTAATATACAGAAAAAATGAAGTACTGTATGGAAGCTCGCAGTCTCAACGCTGCACACAGTTGTTTGTAAATCGATCAAAAAAAAAACGAAAGAGCTTATTGGATACGCTGCATGCCGCACGATTCACAAGCCGCGATCTACAATCCACGTGTGAGGAGAAGGCCGCGAGAGCCGTTGGAACATTTGTTTTAAACGAAGCCAGCACGATGCAGCAAAGCCAGCTGCACGTTTTTATAAACAGCTTTTTGGTGGCAATCTCCGCTTCGTGGAAAAGAGGAAAACTGGGCATCCATTACAGTACGTTTTCGATGAAAACAGGCACCACCAGCATTATGACTGAAATTAAACTGAGCTCGTGTCACGGATTTTAAAAAAATCATCTCTCATCGTTTGTACAAATTAGTACCCCCCAAAGTTGAACACTGTACTCCGTTATTGAACAAAACTAAAAGTGAATTTTATATCCAAGATTTAACATAATGCCAAAAACGATCAGATTTATGGCAATCCTGAAATGTTTAACTCGGCGTAGCTTCGCGCGAAATGCACACAGGACCCTTTTGTCGCCATTTTCGGATTTGGCGATGCAATAAAAACCTACATGACGCCGCACATTGCAAATAAATGCAAACTCGAGCCACCAACTCATCTCCAAAACCACACATTGGCAGGAATGGGAAGGTTGCGAACAGTATCAAAGGCAGACCGACGCTTTGAAAAGGCCGTCGCTGCGGTCGACAGGCACGGCGCAAGTCGCAGGAAAGCTGCTACAATAGCTAAGAATGGCGATGGAGCGAGATGGTTTTGATACTGCGAAGCGGGCGGAAAGGAGTCGGAAGGAGGCAGAAAAAGCCGAAAAGGACGCAATAGCATACGAACGCACAAAAATTGCTCGATTAGAATTCGAGAAGCGTTCGCTGCATGCCCGGGTGCTTGTGTACGGCGTCCCGAACGTTTCTGTTCGTCCCATGCTATTGCTATTGACAGACGGCAGTCGGCGCGGAGACATTGCTGCGAAACGGAAATTTGCTGCACGGAACGCAGCACAAGACAGTTAACGAAATGGAGTTGACAGATCAGCGCGTTCAGTGTCAGGAAAGACATTCTTGAGTAAAAAAATTTGCATTTTGTTTGCACTGGCCAGGTTGGCCGTTTGGCTGTTCAATTCTCAGGTGCAATTTTGCACAAATGGCGGTTTCAAACAGGTATATCTTTTCAAATATGACAGTCATGTTGAATCTTCTGCACGCCTATTGGCTCAAGTAGTGTTTACTGGGTAGGATTGTGGTTGAAATGAGACTACAATGGAGTACAGAGGTGATGCAGAAGATGTTTTCTCATTTATTTTTTGATTCCGTTCAACTTTGGGGGGTACCTGGTTCACCTTTAACATATTTCCAACAACTTCCAATTTAATATCTACTCTACCCGTCGCACTCACTTCGCTCTGCTATCACCCTCGCGTCTGACCAAGAAGAGCTTGGTATGGCACCGCCTTGTTTCCGCCCTTACAGCGCTTCTCGCCTGTGTACATACAACATTCCGTTTAAACTCCTAAGATATCGAAACAATTTTCACAATAGAGAAGTATGCCACTGCAATGCAACTGCAACGTTTGTATTCAAATCAAGAAGCTTACTTAGTAAGCTTCACAGAGTGTGAAAATCAGGTTATACTAAGCCCGCAATACGAAAAAAAAAACCTAAAGTAAATAACCACGGAAAAACCATCAAACCCTGTAACACAGTCGTCCATATCAGTGATTAGACCTTACAGATGCCACCAGCACACCTCAAACCATTACGACACACCCAAAACGGATCTTTTCCACACCGCATCCCAGCTTCTTTCTTGGCAAAACATTTACGATTACCTTCATTTCCAACGCAGCTTGTTCCTTCAGGACAAAGAGCTTCCGGGCTGTTGCATTCCTGGCCCACATTGACCGTCCGAACACATACATTCTTAATACATCTCAATCCATGCCGGCACACCCAAAACGGGTCTTTCCCGCATGGCATACCTACAGGCTTCCTCATAAAACATTTCTTGTTCCCCAGATTCCCCACGCAGCTAAGACCTTCAGCACATACGCTGCCGGGTATGTTGCACGAACGACCTCTTGCAATCGTTCGTACACACACTCCGCGGAGGCATCTGAGGCCATTGCGACAGACCCAGAACGGATCCTTTCCGCATGGCATGCCAACGGGCTTCTTCATGAAGCATTTCTTATTCCCGTCATTCCCGACGCAGCTAAGACCTTCTGCACATACGCTGCCGGGTAAGTTGCACGAACGACCTCTTGCAATCGTTCGTACACACACTCCGCGGAGGCATCTGAGGCCATTGCGACAGACCCAGAACGGATCCTTTCCGCATGGCATGCCAACAGGCTTCTTCATGAAGCATTTCTTGTTCCCGACATTTCCGACACAACTGAAACCCTCTTGGCAAACATCGCCGAGCTTGTTACAATTGCCTCCCTGTCTGATTGCCTTGACACATGTTCCATTGAGACATCTCAGACCACTATCACAAACCCAGAAGGGGTCCTTACCGCAAGCCATTCCCAGTGCTTTTTTCATGAAGCATCTCTTGTTGCCGTCATTCCCGACACACATAAGGCCTTGTTGACATAAATCGCCTGGCTCATTGCACGAACCGGCAACACCGATTGCCGGGACGCACACCGATCGACGGCACAAAAGTGAAGATTTGCAGACGGAGTACGGATTTTGTCCACACGCTCCCAGATAGCCAACTTTCTCCAAGCATTGTTTTTTGGACTCTGGGCCGACGCAGGAGAGCGGGGAAAGGCATTCGCGAGTGAATCCACATCGGGCGCCTTTGGATTGGCGTACGAGAGCGGGAGCGGCGTGGATGAGGGATGAAAGAAGGATGAGGAGAAGGAGGGGGAGGAGAAGGAGGGGGAGGAGGGTGGGGCTAAGGAATCGCATTTTGTCGGGGTGAAGAGTGTTTGAGAGATCGGAAACGGAAGCGGAGATGGATGGATAAGGGGACTTGATCTGGAAGGAAACAGGGACCGAGGAGCTCTTTTATATTGGTTTTGGGGTGCAGGGCGGTGGAGCGATTTGAGAGATTGTTATTGGGATGAAAACACCAGAAATGACACGCTGGGGAAATGCGGAAGCGCGTATGTAATCGAGTTGCGTTTTGTGGCGATCCAGGCTTCATGTGTGGAGAAGTACAGTAAGCAGTTGCGGAAACAATGGATTCGGGCTGTCGACTGCACGGGATGAACTGTTTGTCCTGATCTATGGAGTGTATTGCTCCTCTGAGAGCGGTAAGCCCAAAGCCGCTCGTGCTGGCTCGGGAATATTTATTGGAATGTTGGGGAATTTCAAAACGGGAGGCATTGTGCGGACCGTGGCAGATACGGAGGGAATCTGTAAACGAAGGCGGAAACAGTGGTGGAGATGACGATGGAATCGTGACAATTCCAAGCACGCGCACAGTAAGCAGGGCGATAAGGTGAGACGTAGGGGCTTTAATGCTGACACTTTGATTGTCGCGTTTCTGACATTTTTGAATGACGTTGCTTGTTTGTATTATCACTGTCCGCGTTGCCCCTACACATGACAGTCACTGCCATATCAAAGATACATACAGTACCTTCGAAGTACCTTCGTACATGTGCCCCCAAGCCCTACCCTTGGTACTTCAAGTGCGCGGTCGCCGCATTGTTTATATGGGACAATCGCCATGAACCAAGGTTTCTCAATCACGACACTTGAGGGCTGTAGACTTCACTCAGTCTCCTCAAGGCTCGGGCCAAACCTTGCGGAGATGGTCTTGCAGTGGAGACAGTGTGAATGCTGCCAGGCGATTTAGAAGTAGAAGTACCCAAGGGTACAGTATGTACGATAGCCACGCTCTTGCACGGTGACGCGCAATGTAACGCGCTATTTTACACAGTGCGCGAAACGCCGTTGCTTATGTGTTTGTTTACAAGCGGCATCCTTACATGAGGATGCACACGCACAATTTTTGCTGCCACTCGATGGCGTGCTCGATGGCGTGCGTAAGAGGCGTTTTCGCATGTCTTTGCTCTGATGCGCCTTCATGTCAAGGCTGTATTCCTACGCGCATCCTCAGTTCCGACAAGTACAGTAATATCTCGATGCCATACCACGTATTCAACCGATGCAAGTGCAGCAAAGACAAGTACCTCCTCCCCCCACCTCCTGTCACGACCTCAGTCTACTTCACAAAATAAATGACTGCACGCCTGCGCATTACATTGTCATTTATTCAACATGATACGATTGGGACAACAAATCCTGTATCACTACTGAGAGAACTGCACTTGGGACAATGGCGGCTAAAACTTTTGCGAACGTATAGACCCCCATCCCATTTCACACGTACTGCCCTATCAACCCCAGTTTGTTCTCAGCAGCGAATACGTCAGCCTCACTCTAGCTGTATCCCCATGGTATGACTTTTCTGGTACACCCACAGCGACAAAGTATGGTCTATGCTTTCTTAAATCCACATGCAGGTCCGTTCGGAATCGTCTGCACATATCGCGTGGTCCGCTTTGAGCGACCAACACACAGTCCCTCGCCACATACCGCTCATCCGCCACGTCAGCATCCCCGCAGTCGTACACCGATATCTCTGTCTCCACATTCGTTCCACGTCGCGAGCATGTGCTAAAACGCTCCACTCTTCTGCTGCGCCGCCCGCTTTTCGCCGTAATTTTGAAGGTCGCTTGCAACGGTAGCATCGTATTGTTATGAAGGAATCGCCTCGAGTCGTTGCTCATTGTTCCGGTATCCAAGTCGACAGTCTCGCGGAATAACAGCGGGATTGCAGCCAATGGCTGTGATACCATGGGGGGTTTTGCGGACGCCACATGACTCAGGACGTGACTTGATGGAGATACTTCAAACGATCGCAACATGTTTTTGTAACTCACCTCTACTTTAAGAGGATTTCCAGTGTCAAGCTTGCTCATCGCAAAGCCGTTTTTGTTTCCGTCGTGCGGATTGAAACCCATAAAGAACAGTTCATCCTTTCGTCCTTGGCTTCTCACCACAATACGGATGTGGTCAGTGTCGACCTTTTCAGTCCGGAAGTCTACTTGATGTCCCAATGTCATGACGTGTATGTCAACTTGTTGCCTCACATCTGCAGACTTCAGCGTGATCATGCACTGGTTTTGGTGACACGCGGACTTTTGTGCTTCGACATCAACCTTCTCGTCGAGCATCAGATACGATTCGAAGACGTGCTTATCACCAGAAGTCATCCCGAAGCGATCCACCACAAGAAAGTACCCGGGCGCGTCTACACAACGCACCAAGGCAGTAGAGCGTACTCCATACTCCACCTTTGCACGTGTTCTGTATTCTCTTTTCCAGGTCCACATCCCCATGAATCCCATATCCGGGTCCCCGTGCATGTTTGACTCGCTTCGTCCAAAGCCAATATCGCTGCCGTCATCACCTTCCGGCCACCCAAATTCACGTGGGTCTCCAGTTTCGGGAACCGTAAATCTTGTCGGTACCCTCTTGCTGGTTCCATTCGGCGTGTATTCTACAATGTACGTCAGGGGCGGGGAAGCTCCAGGCCACGGCCGTGCCCATTGTACATTGTATGCGTACGTCAAGTTGGCACAAGCAAGAACCACCTCGCCATCATCCGTCACTTTCATCATTCTTACTGATGGGGCCTTCTCATCCTGCGCCAATCCATCCACATGCATAAGGCTGTGTTTGCGAGAATCAATATTGTTCAACCATGGCAGGTCGGCAATCCATGTTTTCCTAAACACTGTAAACGTGAAAATCCCGCGATCGGCATTGTCATGCCCCGGGAAGAACGCATCCGGTCTCGCATCAAAATGAACCAAGGTTGAACTCTCTTTCAGATCATTTCTGGCGATGAGCAAGCCGCGACGAGGCGAATAAACCGATTTTGGAATCAAATTCTTCTTATCCGTTTCCATGGTTTCAAGTGACTCGGCACTTGTGCCGTGTTCATCACCAAAAAATGTCATTTGAACCATCGTCTGGAACCAGAGGATGCGACATGGTGGATCGACTTTGAATTCCGGATGCATGCGCTGCCGCCACATCATATTCGTTAACGCGCCTTTCGGATATGCGTACCGGAACAAACCTATATGAGACGGGTATCCCAATCCCCCACCGCCTGCATGGCCGATGAGACTCCCACACTGCCAGGGTTCGTACATCTGTGCAGCGTTGTGGATAAAGTTTCGAAACCTTGGCGTGTCAATGGTCGCAACACCACGACGATGTGCAGCCACAGCACCCAAGGATCCCTCACGGAACGCGATGAAATATGAATAGCCGTCTTCAAACGTCGAGCCGTCAGGGTATATCGAGTGAGCCATGTAGGCTTTGATCATTGCCGTGAACCTTGTATTTAATGCAGCGTTGAACCCAGCCTCACCTTCGGATTCCAACACAGCAGATGCGTAGGTATCAAAGTCAGTATCTCCTTCAATAGCGAGATTAGCAATGTACAAGTTAGAATGATACATTGCCCAGTTGGAGAAGATACGATGCGGATGCAAGACAGCATTGGGAGAGTCGCGATCCGACGACGGGGAATTCCCCCACGAGTATCGTTTAAGCACAAGCAGAGCAACAGCCGACCTGACAACTCTTCTCTGCACTGGGGTCATGTCAGCATACAAGACGTCATAAGCAAGAGCGATGCCACTGGTGGCAGTGAACCAGTCGTTCATCACGTCCCATTTACGGGTGTAATCCCACAGATAGCCGCGCCCCGGACCATCGGTACATGTAGGATTGCAGTGATAGGCGCGATGGGCGAGGGCCACTTTAGCCCAATTAACCGTGGCAGCGATGCAAGTGTCTATCATGTTTGGCGGTAAGAATCGAACCCTTTCATCGCCGCCGGCCAGTTTGACTCTTTTCCTCGACACACTCGCCCAAAAAGCACAGAGGAAGAACGAAGCAGCGCCTTTCTCATCAGATATGAGCAGCATTTCGGCCAGCGGGAGAATCTTGGCCATCTGGGTCTCATTTAAAACGGAAAGGTCTTTGATATGACCTGTGT